TTCGCTTCGCGAACATCCATATTTTGTTTTCAACTCTAGTACTCCACACACACTACAAGGCTTGCTCCAGACACTCGCACCAAAAGCATTTGCATGAATTTTGCATAAAAAAACAAAAAATTTCCTCGCTTCGCGAACATCCATATTTGTTTTCAACTCTAGTACTCCACACACTACTACAAGGCTTGCTCCAGACACTCGCACCAAAAGCATTTGCATGAATTTTGCATAAAAAAACAAAAAAATTTCCTCGCTTCGCGAACATCCATATTTGTTTTCAACTCTAGTACTCCACACACACTACAAGGCTTGCTCCAGACACTCGCGCCAAAAGCATTTGCATGAATTTTGCATAAAAAACAAAAAATTTCTTCGCTTCGCGAACATCCATATTTGTTTTCAACTCTAGTACTCCACACACACTAATTACAAGGCTTGCTCCAGACACTCACACCAAAAGCATTTGCATGAATTTTGCATAAAAAAAACAAAAAATTTCCTCGCTTCGCGAACATCCATATTTGTTTTCAACTCTGGTACTCCACACACACTACAAGGCTTGCTCCAGACACTCGCACCAAAAGCATTTGCATGAATTTTGCATAAAAAACAAAAAAATTTCCTCGCTTCGCGAACATCCATATTTGTTTTCAACTCTAGTACTCCACACACACTACAAGGCTTGCTCCAGACACTCGCATCAAAAGCATTTGCATGAATTTTGCATAAAAAAACAAAAATTTCTTCGCTTCGCGAACATCCATATTTGGTTTCGACTCTAGTACTCCACACACACTAATTACAAGGCTTGCTCCAGATACTCGCACCAAAAGCATTTGCATGAATTTTGCATAAAAAAAAACAAAAAATTTCCTCGCTTCGCGAACATCCATATTTGTTTTCAACTCTTGTACTCCACACACACTACAAGGCTTGCTCCAGACACTCGCGCCAAAAGCATTTGCATGAATTTTGCATAAAAAACAAAAAATTTCTTCGCTTCGCGAACATCCATATTTGTTTTCAACTCTAGTACTCCACACACACTAATTACAAGGCTTGCTCCAGACACTCACACCAAAAGCATTTGCATGAATTTTGCATAAAAAAACAAAAAATTTCCTCGCTTCGCGAACATCCATATTTGTTTTCAACTCTAGTACTCCACACACACTACAAGGCTTGCTCCAGACACTCGCACCAAAAGCATTTGCATGAATTTTGCATAAAAAAACAAAAAATTTCTTCGCTTCGCGAACATCCATATTTGGTTTCGACTCTAGTACTCCACACACACTACAAGGCTTGCCCCAGACACTCGCACCAAAAGCATTTGCATGAATTTTGCATAAAAAAACAAAAAATTTCCTCGCTTCGCGAACATCCATATTTGTTTTCAACTCTAGTACTCCACACACACTACAAGGCTTGCCCAGACACTCGCACCAAAAGCATTTGCATGAATTTTGCATAAAAAAAACAAAAAATTTCCTCGCTTCGCGAACATCCATATTTGTTTTCAACTCTAGTACTCCACACACACTACAAGGCTTGCTCCAGACACTCGCACCAAAAGCATTTGCATGAATTTTGCATAAAAAACAAAAAAAGTTTTCGCTTCGCGAACATAGCAAAGGGTTTCAATTTTCCACACACATAGTCTATTACTCTGTTACTCCATTACTCTATTATTCGATTACTCTATTACTCTATTACTCTATTACTCAAATACTCTAGTACTCTATTAGTCTACTACTCTATTATTCTATTACTCTATTACTTCACTACTCGATTACTCATATTTGTTTTCAACTCTAGTACTCCCACAAAGTGGGTGTTTTCACCCAAACCCTAAACCCTAAACCCTACACCTTTAGACCCGAACAACCGTAAGCCCTAAACCCTAAACCTTTAAACCCTGAACCTCGGAAGTTGGCACCCTAAACTTTGTGGGCCCCGAAGCTGACCAATACTAGACCTAGAATCTTTAAACCCTAAACCTCGGTGTTCCATTTTGGCAGGTCCTCGAGCCGTGCCAGGAAGCCTAAACCATGAGCCCTAAACCCTAAACCGGGTTTAAGCCTCAAATTGAAACCCTCACATAATTCGCATTTCTGCCACAATCTTCCAAATAATTTGTTTTTCTTCAATAATCTTCCAAATAATTCATTTTTCTTCAACAATCTTCCAAATAATTCGTTTTTCTTCAACAATCTTCCAAATAATTCAACAATCTTCTTAAATCTTCGGTAGTGGCTGAGAAGTACCCCTGCTGAGAAGTACCCCTAGGCTCATGAATGAAGTACGGCCATAGCGATGACGATGATCATGATGATGACTGTGGTGGCGGTGGTGCTGCTACTGCTGCTGTGGCGATGATGATGTTGACGAAATAAGGACGGGCTATGGTTGCCAACACCGCATCAAGGTTATCAGGATCACGCTGCATGCCGTACCTGGACGAATCTCGTTTGTGTGGGAACAGCCGTCTTCGAATGAATGTCTGTCCTGGTAGCTGCCTAAATATGATACATGGTGCTGCGAGCCATCTTCACCCCTCCACACCCCCTTCAGCTGTTCAGACGACGACTAGGTCTCCCTGCCCCTCGCCCGTGCTTTGCACACCTGCACCCAGCTCGCCTCAAACCATCTGTGAGCCCGTCGGCTTCTAGGAAGGTTGCCTGGCATTCGTGTGAACCGTGCATTCCAAGCGCCCAAGCACGGCTGGAACAAGAAAAAGGTACTACATCTTGCCACCTCCTGGCCGCTGTGCACACATCCGCATTGGCCCCATCCAAGCCTCAGAAGGCTACAGAAGGCTACGAGACTCACTTGCCTGTCATTCCACAGTAGTATCCGCACTGAACTTTCTGGGCCCAGCGCTGCTTCGGAGAAGCTTGACCCATGACTGCAGAAAAGTGGCCTCACGCGAAGTTGCTGAAATCATCCTTAATGATCGATACTTGCAGGTTCATGGGTAGTTATAAGTGGGGGTATAAGTAGGGTTACCATGGCTATGACCCGATAGGGGACTCGTAACCCCACTTATAACTACCCACGAACCTTCTAGTAGAAGAGATCTCATGAGCTTGCTCCGCCTCAAGACATGTCCGTGAACTCAACGGGCGCTGTCGCTGCCAGCGTCTGGGGATCCATGCGTCTTAACGACGAATTTCGATTTCGGGCGGATGCTTCTACGGCCGGTCTTGGTGTGGAGAGTGGCTTCGCAAAGGTAGGAGGGGATGGTTTGGAGTCCAACACTGATAATCTGACGCTCGAGCAGGCTTTGATCCGAAACAGCACGAGCATGGCTTCCTCGAATCTCCGCTGAGCGGCTAGACCCTGCTTCTGCAAATCCTTGCATCGACTACTCGGCAACATTCCACCGGCTTACAAAGGCGTGGCATTGTGATCGAGCATCTCGACGGGACGATGGCAGAAAACACTCTGTGCGCCCAGTCTGCAACTACAGTACTCTCTTGAACGACATCAGCAGCGAAGCGGGTGCCCTACAGAAGCTGCCTAATCGCCAACGTAAGGCACAGAAGCCTGTGGCCAAGAGCTTAAGGCACACACTAGTGTGTGTGTGTGTGTGTATGTGTGGTGGCATATCTTTCGTCGAATACGTCGTGGCAGTTGTCTATGTTTGGCGAAGTTTTGCCACAGGGAAGTTCCTACATGTATCGGTCTGCGGTGCAATGCTTCGAAAGATGCACGGCTGAGCCTTGCCTTTCACTTGCAGCCAAGCAAATGGGAGCCCTGTGTTCGGGTCGCCATGTGGCGCGGGTTCATCCGTTCTGCCTCTTCTTGAGGCCACGGAGAGCGAGGCATTAACTCGAAACTTCAAGGAAGGTCTTGCTGGCACTACTGATCCCGTTGCACAGGTACAAGTATGAGCAGTAATATGTAGGGGCGGCAGCAGCAGCAGCAGCAGTGGCAGCAGCAGCAGCAACAGTGGCAGCAGTGGCAGCAGCAGCAGCTGTAGTAGGAGTGAAAGTAGGAGTACGAGGAGGAGGAGGAGGAGAGGACGAGGTGAAGGTGGAGGAGGAGGAGGAGGATTGCGAGTATCACTAGTAGGAGTAGTATCTGGAGGAGCAGCAGCAGAAGCAGCAGTAGTAGCAGGAGTAGGAGGAGGAGTGGTTGGTAGGAGTAGGGGTAGGCGTAGGAGCAGGAGTAGTAGCAGCAGCAGTAGCAGTGGTGGTCGCAGTCGTAGTCGCAGTAGGAGGGAGTAGGAGTAGGAGTAGGAGTGGAGTAGGACTAGCAGTAGTAGTAGTCGTCGTCGTGGTGGTGGTGGTGGTAGTGGGAGTAGCAGTAGAAGCAGCAGAAGTAGTAGCAGCAGTCGCAGTCGTAATCGTAGTTGTCGTCGTAGTGGTAGCGATAGCGGTAGTGGCAGTGGCGGTGGCGGCGGTAGTCGCAGTCGTGGTGGAAGTGGTAATGGTGGTGGCAGTGGTAGTGGTGGTGGTAGTAGTAATAGTAGTCGTCGTCGTCGTCGTCGTAGTATGAGCAGCAGTAGCAGTAGGTGTACGAGCCGGAGGAGGAAGAGGACGAGGAGGAGTAGGTAGTAGTGGCATTTGTTGCAGGGGTAGGAAGAGTAGGAAATGGAACAGGAGTGGGATTGGGAGTAGCAGCAGCAGAAGTAATGGTAAGAGCCGGAGGAGCAGCAGCAGCAGTAGGAGAGTAGGCGGAGTAGGTGACGGTGAAGTGGTAGCAGCAACAGCAGCAGTCTTACAGTAGCAGTGGCAGTGGCAGTAGTAGTAGTAGTAGTAGTAGTAGTAGTAGTAGTAGTAGTAGTAGCAGGAGGAGCAGAGTCGGAGTTGGAGTAGGGGTCGGGAGTAGTATATAATCTGCGCTGGTTTGTACTTTGCACACTAGCTCAGACAGTCGTCCGGCGTGTCAGTGTAACCTGGCAGGGTGCTTAAGCTGTGCCACACCCATGCTCCCGAGGAACATCGAGGAACACAACCAGAAATTGCCAGACGTGGCTCTTCGTGGATCTCTTGCTACTGCTGTAGTTGCTGACCTTTTCTGCACTGAGCCCGCAACCTCCACGAAGGTCGACGGACCTGGACCTGCAGCACGGAGTTTCGTTGCCCGAGGTCAGCGATGAGCTTGCTCTGCTCCTGGTGCAAGTCAAGCTCAGCAGGTGCGCCACGAGTAGCATCCATGTGTACCGCATCAGCGCTTCGGTGCACGCCACAGGGCCGGGTACATGCGTTATGCAACTCCGCGGATCCTTGATTCGGCAGGCATTCTTGTCCAGCAGCATCTGCCTGGCAGCGCTTGGACTCCAGCTCCACACTTTGAACAGAGTGCTTGCCGATGTTCCGACAGTGAGACACGAGTCCAAAGCGAAGGACAACACTTGGCCGGCACGCATGAGGATCAAGAATTCTGGGAAGTCCACAGCGATTCCTCAGTAGTGCTCGTGCGATTTTGGATGCGTTGCTCTGAAGACCCACAGCCAAACTTGACTAAGCTTGCTGCGTGGCCTGTTGAGCGGCATGCTTTCCTCGCACAAGAAAGTCGAGGCGGGAAAGCAACACATCGCCATTGCACAGCCGCACAGCCTTGTGAAAATCTCTAAAGTGTCCAAGTCTCATATCGCTGATTTTTGGGACTCAGCGGTGCGACGACCTCTGCAGTCGGGCTTCGGGAGAGCTCGACAATTGCAGCAGCTGGAGACGCAACAACTGGGAAACGAAAGCAGGGGTTACATGTCTGCAAGCCGTCCAAGAATTCCTGCCAATCACGCCACAATCCAACACATCCTTTGCTCTGTTCGGCCTTCTCCCTGTACTCTTCATGCATGTGGGAGTCAATGTCGAAGAAGAGGCGAGTCCTCAGCAAGACAGGCGACTGTTGAGGAACATCGCGGACCCTTGCGGTGCTATCATTGCTGATGAATTCGGCATGGAACGGTGCACTGTCGAATTGAATCCAGCACAGGCAGGAAACAGCAGCATGGGGACGCAATCTGGGCAGCCTGCAATTCGTCCAGATTTGCTTTTCCAAGTCCGACCACCGGCCCGACCATCTCCAAATACTGCAGGCGTGGCAGAAATGATCAAACATAGAAAGATGCATCCGTATAGAGTAATGTATGTAAGCATGCCCACTAATGCTGCCGCCACTACCACTACCACAACAAATGCGAAGTGCAGGAACCCCTGCCGCAATTGATTAGCCGACACTTGTAAACTTCCGCTGAAGCTGACAACCCCTCTCCCCACATGCATATGAACAACGCGTGGTGATCTGAAACCCTAAACTCCAAACCCCAAACCCTAAAACCCTAAACCCTAAAACCCTAAACCCTAAAACCCTAAACCCCCTAGCCCCAAAGAGCCTCATCCAATCTCAAGAGGCCGCGCATCGATCCGTCCTCGGATTCCTGGCACGCGCGCGGTTTAGGGTTTAGGGTGGCCTTACTACTTAGAATAGGGTTCCAATAAGGGCTCCTTTAAAGGCGCCTACAAGGGCTACTATAAGAGCTACTATAAGATAGAGGGCATGACAAGTAATGTGGGGGGGCGTTACTAGTTTCAGGAATATACGGACATTCGATTACATTATATTCTAGTACGTTGTAGAATCGATCGTGTAGCATATTCTGGGCGCCTTACTAGTTGATCAATGATAACACTAGCATCCCGAAACCCTAGGCCCTATCCCTAAACCCTACTTGGAGGTTCATGGGTAGATATAAGTAGGGTAGCCATAATTTTTACCCATTAGGGGACTGATAACCCCACTTATACCCATGACCCTCCAATTATTATAGTACCCTTTCAGATCCCTTATGGTATTCCCTTATAGACCCCTTTATAGTAACCCTTACAGATCCCCTTAAAGTAACCCTAAATAGGGTAATCTACCCTCGTCAACGGCTCTGGGCGGCCAGAGCTCGAAAAGGGCGGCAAAAGAACAGCAGATTGGATCCGGGCCTCGCCGAGAAAGATCCGTCGGAACTCCTCCACCTCTGGGAGAAGCTGTGAACTATTAAGGGTTCTTTAGGGGCCCCTTTAAAGGTTCTATAAGGGCCCTTTAATACTGATAGTAACAATACTATAATACTAAGGCTTACGACATACTGATACAAAAGAATTACGGCATCTTAGCGTGTAGCCAGGGGTTGCCCCAGACTGAGTTGTGGCATCTGCCAGAGTGTATGCAAAAGACAAGTCAAAAGATCCGAACTGGGTGTGCATGGCAGTGTCTATGTTTGCAGCCTCCCGCGATGAAAACTTGGTCTTCTCCACGGCGAATGCTTCCTGCCAGAAGGGATTGTGTACCAGCCCCGAACCCGAACAGGCTGTGAAACTTGCACAGGGGCGGACCTTTTGAACAACGCTAATAATGTCCTGCAACCTATCTCAGCGGAGGCTCCTTCGCCATACGAAGGCGGTCTTGCATGTCGTCCACCTGACGCATTAGCCTGGCGACAGTCGCGATGCTGGCGTCATGGGCGATGCGAACAGAATCAAGTTTTGGAGCCGCACTGAACATAGAGCTTCTCACATCGTGCTGAGCTGCACGTTGCATCTGGATGCGCCAGACAGAGACGACTGAGGTGCATGACTAACCCTGAACCCAACAGTAACAGGAATGACCCGTACGAAAAGAAGAGTCAGAATACACGAGCAATAAACATAATATTACTGGCGAGAATGACAACGATAGTAAAGTGACAACAACAATAACAGCAGCAACGGCAGCGAGAGCAAGAGCAACGGCAAGAGCAGCAGCAACAACAACAGTAAAAGCAACAGCAGCAACAATGATAGTAGTTGCAATCAAACGGATGATAGTAACGGTAATGATAACACCCATACTAGTATTAGAAACAATGATATCAACAATCCCAACAAAAAGGCTGTATCCATAATAACAACAGTAATCATAGTCATAATAGCTACAGCGATGATCCTCGTAACAGAGACAACAATCGTGACAACAAGTATGCTGCTGCTACTACTACTACTACTACTACTACTACTACTACTACTGCTACTGCTACTACTACTACTACTACTACTACTACTACTACTGCTGCTACTACTACTACCACTGCTACTACCACTACCACTACCACTACCACTACCACTACCACTACTACCACTACTACTACTACTACTACTACTACTACTACTACTACCACTACCACTACCACTACCACTACCACTACTACTACTACTACTACTACTACTACTACTACTACTACTACTACTACTACTAGTACTAGTACTAGTACTAGTACTAGTACTAGTACTAGTACTAGTACTAGTACTACTACTCCTGCTGCTACTACCACTACCACTACCACTACCACTACCACTACCACTACCACTACCACTACTACGACGACGACGACTACTACTACTACTACTACTACTACTCCTGCTGCTACTACCACTACCACTACCACTACCACTACCACTACTACGACGACGACGACGACTACTACTACTACTACTACTACTAGTACTAGTACTAGTACTAGTACTAGTACTAGTACTAGTACTACTACTACTACTCCTGCTGCTACTACCACTACCACTACCACTACCACTACCACTACTACTACTACGACGACGACGACTACTACTACCATTACTCATAGCAACAAATAAAAAATCAAGATCCTAAGCCCTGAACCCTGGAGCCGCCTCAGGAAGTCCGGGAAGTCCAAGGATCCCGTCTTGTCGGGATCCACCTTCACACAGTGGGTAGCTGTCAAAATGTTGGTCCCCTTTCTGGGGTACCCTAAATATTAGGTGCCGTATGATATTAAGGGCCCAAAAAGGGGCCCTGATTTTGACAACCACCCACATGAAGGGCCTCTGGGATTTAGGGCTGTAGGGCTGTGGGAAGTTAAGGGCTTTAGGGTTTTTTGGGAAGCTAAGGGCTGTTGGGTTTTGGGAAGCTAAGGGTTTAGGGAGTTAGGGCTTTAGGATTGTGGTGGAAAGCTTTTTGGGGTGTTTTAGGCTTTAATGTTTAAGGCTCAGGGTCTAGCAGTCGTGCTGGCACCTTCCACTGACATGAGCGCCCCTAAACCCTAAACGCGCCTCTGTGAGTATTCTCGCAACTTCCGACCGCTTGGCCATGTTCGACGACATGTCGGGGCAAAGGTCCTGGCAGTAGGGCTGGATAGAACAACATCGTACTGAATACGAACATGGACACCAATACCAATAGTAGTATTTGTATTAATCATAATATGATAACTCGTATCAATACCAATAATGCCAATAATTTTCACTGCTAGGCTGCTGGAGACACGAAGACTTTGGTCACGAAGAGGCCGAAATGGAACGTGAAGAAGCTGCTCAAGAAACCCGCAGAAAGCCCAGGAGAGTAATTAAGCGTAATGTAATCATTATCCCTTCCACTCGAAAGCAGTAGACCTGTCAAAAGCTAGCATTCGAGCGGCTCAAGGCTTGAAAGCTCCTGAAAAAGCTTGGCAAGCTCGTGATTGTCGATGTCACCGCTGCCATCTGCATCATACACTGCAAACCTGCGTGGCCGACTCTCCAGCTTGTGTTGAGAAGGAGAAGCCGTGCCATGAGGAAGCGTCTCACGACAGCAGTGCAAAGTCCCGGACTTCTCTCGCATCATGGACACCTCTTCCATCGTGTACCTCCATTCAATAAAAGCAGATCACACCTCCCTCTAGGTCCATGCAATGATTTTCCGGAAAACCTGGGCTCCTCGCCCTGCATTGGCCCTCACAGCAAGCTTGGCCTCAGCTGGGCAGACGGACCTTCGCAGTACTCTTTGTCAGGCCACTCAAGGCCCATCAGAAGACGAATGTAAAGCGGAATTTCTTGCGACTTGCTCGCTTGCTCGACGTCGAAGTTGCTCAACAAACGGAGCGGTGCAGCAGATCAGAAGCTCTTCGCGATTCACACGCGCTTTTTTGGGCTAAGGCCAGCAGCCGGTGTCCAGCACGAAGGCCCCTGCATACTTCAACACCCTGTCATGGTGGAGAAAAGGGGGGGTGCACCTCGCATGCGCAGAATGGGCTTGTGCCATAAATGTCGAGAGCAAAGCTGACACGTACGGCAGCCACGCTGCTTTTTCAGGCACCCTACTCGGCAAAGAACTCCAGAAGCAGTTTGTTGAACTCGTCAGCAAACTTCTGATGAATGTTGTGCTTGCCTTCCTGAGAGGCAAGACGCCAAACAGAATGACCAATAAATCCAGGATGACGAAAAAGCTTGTAGCCTAAAGAATAGCAAAGCTGGAAAGGGCCAGAGTTGAATCACAGAGACCGAGAGGACCCTCTTCACTGTCGTCACCGTCATCATCATCTACCTCGTCGTCATCATCCTCAGACTAATCATCGTGATGCTGGTCCTCTCGACCTCCTCCTCCTGCTCAACAGCAGCCGGGCCAGCAGCAGCACAAGCACTACCATCATTATGCTCATCATCGTTGTCGTCACGGCTATGTGATGACAACCTCAGACTTAGCTTTTGTGGTTCTTGTCGTTGTCGTGTCCCAGCCACAGTCCAGGTTATCGCGTCCTCGTCGTAGCCTCCGTGGTTGTGGTCGTTGCTCTTGCTGCGGACATTGTAGTTGGTAGTGCTGTTGCTGCTGCTCCCAACGCCACCGCTAGAAAGGCTTCTGCATGCTTCGGCCCAGTGTCCACTCAACTCAAACTTTCTTGGCCCAAACGGCGCTGGCCATGCCAGCTGTCTGTGGTAGAGTATGACTCGAACATGAATTGTTAAGGTATCTTGTGGTAGATTGTGCCTGGGCGCGGGAAAGACGTGAAGCTTGGAGCCCGCGATCGCCTGGTGGAACCACTCCGGGTGATGCGAAGGCACCAGGGGATCTTTGGCCCCATGCCTTTGCCAGTGGTAGCTTTGCTGTCTAATAAAGGGACCTTCATAATATTCTTACGGTGGTTTTGGGCTGAACTATAGTAGAAATGCAAAATCAAGAACCCTCATGAATAACATAGGTAATTATTCCGACCTTTAATTGTGGGCACCCCATGAAGGCCATGAATGGGGGCACTTGAGGCACGATGTACCCTCTCCAACCTCAATGCAACAAGGCTCTCTCACAGAACCCCTCCAAGATGCTCCAAGGTGTGCATGATGCCATTGTGAATTTCGGGATTTTCGTGTTGCTCTTCAATTTACGTCCGGGACTGCAGATCGCCAACCCGTGCTTGCTACCTAGTAGTCCAGGCACTTAGGTCGACATTCATGTGTTGAGTTCATGACCCTTGGTGAACCCACATCCGCTACTATCGCAACACCATTTCAACAGCAGAAAATCAGTGCCGGGGTGCAGGATGAAAGTTGGACACTTCACTTGCTTTGCCTCCTTCTGGCAGATGTCCCCTCCAGCATCATACATCATCTTCATGGCCTCAAACTCTGCAGAATGACAGAAAAGGTGCACTTTCTCAGGTGTTCGCCCCATATCACAGAAGGCCTATCCACCGGAACGTTACCCCTAAGCCACGATGTCCATCGAGCAGCATCGCAGAAGGAGCTCCACATCGGCTGAAGGTCATCGCCATAGACCTGAGATCGCATTCTCTGAGCCCGAAGCCCGGGACTCAGGCTGAGCCCTACCTCCCTTTTTGTGCGAGCCCCGGCCTACAACGACTGCGAGCCTGAGAAAAACTCGCAGCAGTTGACGCAGAGTCAAGTGGCTGGCCGATGTGTTTCGAGCATTCGCTTGCTCCAAGCCTTCTCCACATCGCGTAGGCCCTCTGCTGGGCTGCTGACAATGCAGATGAAGATTGGTTGCTGCATGTTTCTGCGATGCTACTATGGAATACTTTTTCTTCTGCTGACCGCCGTTACCTAGGCGAGGTGACTATGACCGGCTACGGTAAAAAGGATGAAATAGCTACCGGATTCTGACCTAGTGGAGTTGCCGGCAGTTGCCGGTAATGATGACAACGGTGCGTTACCGATTATGCGGATCATGATGATGAACATACTGACGGTCGTACTTGTAATGTTGCTGACGAAGAAAACGGCGGCAGCAGCAGCAGTAGTAGTAGGTAACTAACAGCAACAGCAGCAGCAGCAGCAGCAGCAGGGGCAGGAGCAGTCGTCTCGGTCGTGGTCGTCATGTTGTTGTTGGTAGTGGCGGTGGTGAGAAACGATGATGACAATGATGCGATGCTGTCGGCGTGATGGTCTGTTTTGGAATGATGCGAACGGGAATGCTTGCCACACAGATGCTGCCGATGCTTGCGAGAACCTGTGCAAGGAGAAACGCCCGTCCTCGTAAGCATCAACATCTTCCTTCGTTATGGAGCCTGCGGCTCAGGTCAGCTCTCATCTTAACCATGGTAACTGCTATGACTCTCATTGCCTTTATTGCTACATCATCATCCCCCATGTGACAACTCAGCCTTGTGTTAGAAAGCTCCCGCCACAGCACAACTCAACTCGCCTTGGATGCCGAAGACGGCCAATTTCTTGACAGCCTCCGGCCTGACACCATTCGGAATGCATGCTGATCGACAGGTCGAGACGAATTGAGCAGTCAACCTACTGGGGCTTGTGGACCGAACCCCACACTATACATACATGCATAAAAATATATACACACACACATATATGTACAGTTTTCCAATCCAAGACAATACCGTACAATACGAGACAGCACATTACGATACAGCACATTACAACACAACACAATACAATCCAACATAACACAACATATACGTACTAAATAAACAAATATGTAAACATGAATAAATACATGTAATATAAATACAAATATAAATAAGGATAAATATATCCATAAATAAATAAATATAAACATATGTGTATATAGATGCGCACACACACACACACACACACGCGCATCAGTGCTTCTCTCACCACCGTTCAGGTTGTGAGTTCACCTGGAGTGTTGCAGATCACCGAGCCAACTGAGCAGGAGAAACTGAGAGCAGCCACCCCCCCCTTCACCCTCCAACAAACACTGAAAAACAGCAAGAAAACAAAAACAACTGCTGCTTAATTATGGCCTTGGGGTCCCCGAGTTCTGGAGAGAGGAAATGTCTGCTCTGAACCCCCAAACTCCCCAAAATTATGTAAATTTGGAGCCTCTGGGAGGCCAGGATGGTCGCAGAGATGGCGCCGTCGCTCCATCCGATGACGTTGTAGGAGCCGATGCCTGCTCTGAGGGAGAAAGGTATGAAAAGTGCAGTGGCGGCTGTGCCTGAAGAGGCCTCAACTCAGAATCATGGTAAAGTTAAGATAGGCATGCAGTGGCCAGGCCACGTTTCTCAAACACACTGACCGAGAGGCCTGCAAAAAGCTACAAAACGAATCAATGACGCTCGCTTGCAGCATGCATTCCCCGCGAGCACTCCACTGCAACAGAAACAACAGCCACCACCGCAACCGCAACAGAAACAGCAGCAAAGGCCAACCAGCTCCAACACAATGCTGCCAGTAGTAGTAAGAGTAGCAGGCAGGCAACGGTCATAAGAGGAAGCTGTGGCAGTCCGTAGTGGTATTGGAGGTCGCAGTAGTAGGAATAGTCTTAGGAATGGCTCAACGATGATAGGTTGATGTGACGATGGCGGTTGAAAACTACGAGGATAACGATGACGATGTAGTTAACGCGAAATTCTGAAACATGACGATGCTGAAACCCGAAACCCCCTTCAAAACCCCTTAACCCCCCTACTCTACGCCTAGCGAATCCATGATGGCTCCAGCATCCGAGGCGTCGAGGTGATAGAAATCCGCCGGGTACCTTCTGTTCGGCGGTCGCGACCTCGGTGAGCCGGAGAGGGGTGCGGGCGGGGGGCCGGGGGCCTTAAGAAGTAGAATGGAACATCTTGGTGGGCCTTGTAGGACTGCAAGGGGATGTTGCTACTGTTGTGATTATTGCAACTCTGATTATTATTTCCTACCACTATTATCATTGCCATTACTATGTGGATTTTTGGACTTCTAAACTGTAGAGCTGACTCCAGATTTCCGGAAACACCAGGCAGTATGAGTCCTGAGGCTCACACTTTCCGTAGCCTCGCGGGTCGAAGGCCACCACAGCATGTCTCTGCGAGAGCCCATCCAGCTGCCCAGCAAAGTCCTCTAGGGTTTAGGGGTGTAGAGGTTTGGGGGGTTTCGCAAGAGTGTCCAGGGAAGAAGACAGATTCTGAACGGAGGCGAGCCCGACCGAATTGTTTGCACGCTTGTCAGTCCGTCTCAGCTGTCCCCATTGCACCAGGCAGACATATTACCGGCAGACCTGCGCAGGAGCTCCAAAGTGGCCCTAATCCCCTCCGTCTGTTGCTAGCATCTGTCCTCCTGCTATCCATACGGCTTTCAGCCTCCCTCATGGAGGAATCTAAGTGAAAATGGCCCTAGGCTTGTCGAACTCTGCCTTGTGAGCCCTTGAGGTCTCCTGCCGTCAGCACGTACCTTTTCAGGGCTTCGAGTGAAGCGAGAGCTCATGCAAATGTCACGACGTGAGAAGAAGCTTTTCTCGTAAGCAGCCCAGCTGCAAGCGTCGTCCATTTACATCCAGGAAGTGCTCCTCCCTTGCCGTCGACGCGCAACGCGCGAATCGCACTGCCGGCTGGCGATTGGTGGCGCGGAGGAGCCCGCACAAATGCGTCAGTCGCTGGGCCGCGCGCGCCATGGGATGCCGGCGAGCAGGATATAGTGGTACAAAGCAACAATTTCTGGCGGGAGATGGTTCGCACTCTGTTGTTAGTACCCAAGAGGCATCTCTTCTTCATGGTCAGAGCTTCCGGATTGAAATCGTTGGCTCGAAGCCCGAGGCTGCGAAAGACCAGGGGAGTGGAACATTTTTCAGGTCTGGCAAGACCGACGACTGAGGATCATGTCATTGTCATGTAGGCCAAATATAGCTGGAATTTGTATCTCTTTCTTTTTTTGGGGGGAGTTGTATGTCATACCATGATGATTTATAGGAACCTGGGAGCCATCGGAAGGCAACAGCAGCTTCCTGGGTTCCGCACGTCGGCCACGAGCTTGGCACAAATCAGGTGGAACACGGCCAGGTCGATGCCTTTGCCCGAGTAGTCCTGGTTCGACATCGAGCAGAGCCGCAAAAAAGGAGGGCCGAAGGGCCATTGAAATACTTCCTCTATACAATCTGATTGTGACCTATAAACCGCTGCGGTATGAAGCCCTTAGTAAATCCTACCGGCGAGGTGCGGAGATGAAAGGCTTCGTCTTCCACGGACGGAATCAAGTTTTGCAACTGCCCTGATGCGACTGACCCACAAAGCCCCCAAGCCCTCACTTTAAAACCCTAGTAGAAATCCACAAAAGAGCCTATACCACAAAACAATGTTATCAGGCACTATGCATTCTTAACCAAACCCAACCTATCCCCAATGTAACAGCTCCGACATACAACACCGCCTTCCAAACCCACATGAACACCCGTAAAGCTCCGTAGAGCCCTTGCCTCGAGATCATCATCCGACGACTCTGCGTTTTCCTCGGAGCCTCGAAAGTCGCAACGAGACTCAACATCGTACTTCTTTTTTTTAAGATGCATCGACCCTTTCTGTGCTGCAGACAGGCCTGCCTCATAAAGGCTTGCACATAAGGGTTTAGGGTTTAACCGGTCTGTTTGGCTTTTTATTAGGCCTTATAGAAGTTTCTGAATGGGCTCTCTGGGAACTTGTAAGGGCATCCAAAGATATCAAAAGCAGTTGATTTATTCTGACATTCCCGCATGTGCTCCTTGCACACTTGAGCGAGAAAGCGACGCAGCTGATACCAACAGGAGTACAGTAGTGGAGAAACGCTGCCTGCTGGCTTCGGAAGCAGAAAATACAAGCTTCAAGCACCCCTATTGAATACCCTATCGGATCGTTGTTGTTGCCACTGGCGTTGTTCTCTTCGTACTAGTGGTTTTTTATTGCTATTACTATTGTTATATGACACGCTACTGCATTGTACTGCACTGTTACTGCACTACAAACAACTGTATTGTACAGCTGGATGCCGGTGCCAGTCGAAAATTGCCTGAAACCCTGTCGACACCACCACACCAAGCGTGGTGGTTTCCTTTCCACAGAGTCCAGTTTGCGTGTAGACACGCCGAGACCAAGGACGTGTCGAATGCTTCGAAGGCGGACTTGCTTACTGCGCGAGCGTCTCACCGCTCTTCAGGTCGGTGAGCATATGGGAGTTTCCGAAAATTAGGGTACCTTATCTTGGGGTCCTTATGATGAAGATCCTACTGTTTGGGGTACTATATTAGGGTCCCCTATTTTCGGAAACTCCCATATGTGGGCATGGATCTAGCCGACAGCTTTTGGATTCTTAGCTGAGCGCTGGGCTGGAGCTCGTGGAGATGGCAGCGAAACTTGAGGAGCTGCTGTTGACCGCCGACGTCACGGAGATCCTGTCCTGCTCTGCCAGTGCAGCGGCGTGTACGAGCAAAGCTGCGAAAGTCGTGCTGTGCTCAAGTATTGAACCTGGCTTTGCCATGCAACAGCCGTACCGGAAATTGCCGATGCACAGGTTGCTCCCCCCCACAACCGTCCCAGATGGTGTCCTTACGTGCTGATGCGGTTTCGAGGGCGGTAAAAAATGAGGAATTCGAAACGGCGCTGACACGTCCTGCATGGCTGAACCCACACCTCACACCCCTACACGGTGAGGTCTTAATGAAAAGCTGTCCTTGGAGGGGCGGCTCAGCAGCAGGCTCACTGGAGGGCCCAGCTTCTGTGCAGGGGCTTCTGCCGGTGTCGAGGCCATGATGGAGCCTGGTACTGTAGATGAGGACACTTGAGATGCGGGGCTAGGGAAAGTTTGAGAGTTTCGCTTCCAGCACCGCATGTTGAAGCCCCATGCATTGGTTTCCTGAATTCAGGCAGAACTTCTGAGCTGCTGGCTGAACCGGCGGTTCTTGTTGCTCGGGAAGCTGGCTGCAATGCTTGCACCTGGATAGGCACGGCTTAGGCTCCCGGAGCTGTGCAGGGACTGTTACTGCGACGTGCGTCCCAGCAAGGGCTGCGTGTTGGAATCTGCATTCGACCGAGCACAGAAGTCTCTCAGGAGCGACTACGACTGAGACGAGCTACTACCCCTCCTCTGATTTCTACTTCTCCTCAACCGCTCCTCGCACTCCTGCTACTGCGACGACGATGACTTCTTCTATAACTACCACTACCAGTACCATTACTACCGACTCATCATAAGACTAGTAAGTATGGTAGTAGGTCGGTCGGTGGTGTCGTTGTTTGATGGCAGGCTGGTTGTGGGGTGGCGATGGCGATGGCAGTGCTGATGGTCATCTTCCTAGTGCTGTGGATCTTGGTCTCGGTTGTCAAGATCGTCGTCGCCTCAGTTCTAGCACAGAAGTGAGAATCAGACCAACACGGACCAGAAGTATGCTGAGGAGTGTTTGTCTTGGCGTTGAATGCATGAGTGTCCGGGCCTCCATACATGTGAACGGCATTCTGGGATATGCCCTGACGTCCTACCATAACTATTTCGGGACAACAGGGGGATACTATACTAATTCTTCAGCCTCCCCTAGAACCTAAACTCCAAGAGCCGCGATGCTACTAAAGCATACTCCCTTCTAGTTACCACATAGTTAGTAGTAACTCCATTATTGTGAACCGTACTACCATTCTTCTTATTATCAGTATTATCAGAACTACCAGTACTGGTACCACTCCCAAAAACTGATACTACTATACAGCTATCTATCTTCTCCCCAGAATGCAACGGCCACGCTCAGGCGCCAGCGCATCTCCTCAACCTCGGACTCTGAGGCCTGCAATACTCCCGATCGAGGTAACTTAAAAGGAAGCACTGATAAGAATGACAATACTTCCGGTAACAAAATTTAAAAGTAATATTGCTAAAAAGCAGTAATCGTATTAAACGTAGTGGTAAGAAACATAGAGAATAATTACCATTTGCGTGAATGGGCAAACCTTTGCCATGACGTGCCGTCACGGCACCTTGATGCCCAAGCTCCGCAAAGTACGAGCACACGCAGGCACCTCAGGGAGTGGGGTCAGAAAGTTTGGCGGGCATGCTCTACACTTCTCGCAAGTTGCTCGTGCCCGCATAGGCTGAGAGTCGAGGTGGCACTTGTGTTCTTCACCAGTCGAGCCCCGCTTGTGCTCGCCTCCAGGGAGCTGCTGCCTTTCCTGAGGCTTTGGTTGAAGGCGGTCGTCCATGACGTCAGCTCCTCCAAGCGCGGATTTGAACGACCACTCTCGAGCCTTCATCGTGTGTTTCCTTTGTGGAAAAACATGCACGGAACCTAACAGCTTTGAGAAGACTAAAACAGTTCCTGTGCAATAAGCAATCGGACAGCTGTTGCCAACAAGCAATAGCTACAAGCATCGTCAGACCATGCTGTAGATTCTGTAGATATGCCTACGCAAAAACATATGGGCATATTTGCGGTAGCTCGTATGATTTCATGCGCTGGCCGAAAACTTAGCAAAGACTTCGAAGCCTTCTCTTGGAACTTCCGCACCAGCTTCTTCATCTCGACGGCATCCAGAGTGTTAGATTCGTCGATGTCCACCTGGCTAAGCTTTCAGGAACCTTTTTTTGCTTTGAATTTTGGTGCCTCCCTCACACGAACCTATGAAGCCGTGCCTCCTTGACGAGCATTTGCTGTACATCGAAGCTGGCAGGATATCCCATCCAGCGAAGTACCTGCAGCGACTGCCCAAACACAGCAGCCTCGGGTGGACGCAGACCGCTTGCACTGGAAGCACAGTTCCCAAACACCGATACATTCTATGTCTTCACGTATGTGCGGTCGTCGTCATGTTGACAACTTCTCGAGTTTACCCGGTTTCCTCATCCAGACACAAGAGCCACATGATATGCACGAGCATGCTATCTGTTCATACAAAGCCTTACAACCTGAAGAGGGTGAAGCCAGGCCAGGGTAAGGCAGCCTTGCCCACATCTTTGACATCGATCTCTCCGAAGCCTGGGCAAGTAGGAGGGTCCCTGGGCTGCTGCAGAGGTCAGCCATAACTATACAACATTTGTGGATAACGACCAACAGACGAACCCGACAACAGTGACAACAAAGTACAACTGATGGTTGAAATAGAATTGGTGCAAGCATGAATTGTCTTACGGCCGTTTCGATCCCCTGCACCGCTGCTTGCATGCTCTGCCGTACCTACACATGTGCAACTTCAAGAGACCTGCTTAGCCGAGTCCTGACCGGTCAAGCCACCCCCCTTTTCGTCCATGACTCTAAATCCTATTACTCTTGATCAGCCGTAGTCCATCAACCTGCTCCTTGGGTGCCAATGAGGGAATGCAAGCGAGGCACCACGCCGGTCGTACTTGTTGAAGGCAGCATCGAGTTCCATGATCTCGGGAAGCGAAGACTTGTGTGGCTGGTACAGATGGTCTGGCATGCGACTTCCCCTCCTAAATGATGCAGCCCTAGGCATGTTCATAGTCATCTCATGCCGCATCACCGAGTGCACCCAAATAGCTCGCAGCTAGAATGACAAAACATGCAGATCTACGGCTCGCAGTCAGACCCCTGGGCCCTAACATCCTTGACGTTGTATGAGCCATTAGTGGCATGGCTGCATGCTTTCGCGCCTGCTTCCTGTCAAGGCCCTCGCGGTATCGATAAACCTGCGGCAAAAGTCAATGAGAGTGTTCTTGTATCAGCAGATCTTCAGTCGTTGGCGCATGTCCGGTCACCATACAACAATTCCACGAACCTGAGCAGCGTGTATAGAGGGAAGCCTCCAGAAAAACAAAGAAGTTCGAGATCGTGATGGTCTTCGGCATGACGGCGTGAATGTCCTTGGGTTGAAGCGCCACTCTCGTTTCTTCGAGTTTCCTCAACCGTGGCTTGAAGGCCAGGTGGTACTATCGAAGTGTCTGTGCATATAGACATGAATTGAAACACGAAGCTCCGACAACTCAGGCCCTTGTGTCAACGTGGGGTGCAACTTGGTCCAAGCGAAACGCCAAATACACAAAACACAACGCCGGGCTCTCGCAAATCTCTGTAGTATATATATATAGGTTTATCTGCGTCAGAAGTCAGAAGTGGGATTCCTGCTTGTGGCTTGGTTGACCACCATTGGCAGAGCACATCACCACTGCCAAAGAGCAAGCTCATCGTGCCACATGTAGGCTCGATTGCCCAAGCGCTCCCGCATAAAATGTATTTGTGTCAATGCATACATTACTTACAGTTCAACCTGGTATTGAAACCTGTCAACGGTGACACGGTACCGATACTTTTTGCAAAACCGTTCCTGTAATGCGCTCCTCCTCTAGATTGCGTTTTAAGTCCCTCTGTGTCCCAACGTGCAATACAAGCCGTCTCATTCAGTGCTCCGTCGGCGAACTATATCATTGACATGCTTCTGAAGGGCACAGCGGTCCTCTTACCATGCCACCTAAGATGTACTTTGCCATATTCAGGCAAATAAAGCCGAGAGCTGCATAATCGGTCTATATTCCTCCCACATTCAATGACATTGCAGCAGTGTTTCCCCACCACGTCAAGACTTCCGCAGTACTCGAAACTTCACGTCAGCGACTGACCAAATTTCATTCATCGGGGCTAGGTCGCGCAATTGGGGGTGTCGCTTTTCAGGGTTCCCCGTCGCCTTACAAGAGGTTTCTTATCCTCTACATGCAAATGTCCTCCCTAGACTCAACTACACAATACTCAATTTTGACGATTGCTCATGTACACTCGAAGCCCGTGCAAACGACATGGACTCGCAGCACACCACTTGGACAAGTAAGATCGGTCAGGTTAGTGCAGTGGATCGCATGAGGTTCGTCTAGATTCTTTGACTGGTCAGGTGCAAATGGCAGCCGAAGTTCATGGGGTGTCCAGCCGGGCCTCAGTCGCGGCTTCAGGCTGTGCTGACATCGCGACACTATGCTGGCGATCTCGGTGCGGGGTTGAGGTATCTTGGATGTCACTGGCTTTCTTTCGGAACTCCCGGCTGGTCTGTGCAACACCGCAATCCCCCCCCCTTGGAGCAGGCCAGTGAGAAGTCGGCATAATGGTGCTGCTGGCGCGACCTGCCACCACGGACAGTGATAACAAAAAGTAAGCAGATGTCAAGCCTCCCGATACCCACAAAATTAACATCTGAACAGGTCTTTGCAACCGGGGCGCTGTGGTTGCTCGAATCTCGGCGTCCAGCACCGGAAACCGACGACAGAGCAGAAAGCCGCCCTGGGAGCCATTTCTTCCCCCCCCCTCTCTCTCTCTCTCTTTCTATCTCTCTCTCTGTCTCTCTCTCTCTCCTTCGGGCACTCTGTCTCTCTCTCTCTCTCTCTCTCTCTCTCTCTCTCTCTTTCTAGTAACCGGCAGATCAACTTGTAACCCGAACACTAGGACCCCACCCCGCCTCAGAGTCTAAGCGTGTAACCCCCCTACCGTCGATACTCGGTATCTCTGACTTCGAGCCTGAGGCCCAATATTATCGGCCGTTAGGCCTTGTCCTCACACAGCCGATGCTCTGACAAGTGCAAAAGTATGGGTGGGAGATGTCCCGGAGCCCCTCTCTGTTTCTTTCCCCAGGCTTGAGGGCATGCCCCCGCGGGAGTAGCCCGTCTGTTGAAGGGATGCACGGTTTTACGTGCGACAAGTGTCTGGCACTCCACGGGCTGAGCTTTCGATTATGCAAAACAGCTCCTAGAAACAAACTGCAGCCAGTATCATTCTAAGATAAAGAACTCCAGGGTGTTCTCGGATGTGTGTCCTCGGCTCGCCCCGTGCTATTTGAAGGACTGAAGCAAAAAGAGTTGCCGGTTACGCACTTTGACGGACCGGCGTCGGTGTGGTGCCGGGACACCTTGAATTTAGCCTCATCATTGTTTTTCTTCCAGAATTACACCCTTCACGTCTCTCCACACACTGTCGGAGAGGGCGGAGCTTTCGGCTCCCCCGGGATCTGTCGGTACTAACATTTCTGCGCGGAGCAAAGGTTATGCAGGGGTTATGTACAGGTTGGTAGTGTGCGTGTGGGGGCGGTGCTCGGATCTTATTGGGCGGAACGAAGTTGTTTTAAAATTGTTTTAGGCCCCCCTCCCAACGAAACATGCAAGAACGCAGTCAGCTCAGAACAAGATCTGGGAACTCGACTGCAATGTGCAACATGAACATTCTGCCAGGCAGTCTGCATTTAGTGGCGAGCACGAGGTCTGACTTGAGTCCTCGCCCCACAGTTTGCAGGTCTTGTTAATTAGCACTCATCATGAAAATGTCTTCAGAGCCGAAGTCCGTCAAGCCGTTGGATTGATCGTCATCGGAGACTTGAATGAGATTTTCTGGGCGGGTCATGGCCATGAAGCAGTCCATAGTGTGCCAGAAAAGATATTGAACGATTTGTCGTGCCACTGTCCTGCCATTGCTGCAAGGTGCTACTAGACCCGTGCGGCAAGGTGCTACTAGTCCCGTGCGAGAAGGACTTCGCGAGTGCTAAGCCCCTCTTTCTCTCTGGTCAAGGTCTGAGGCAACACCTGAGATCCCCCTCCTGCAACGCCCGCAATTGATCCAACCGCTTCCTCGTCACGTTCAGGTCGTCGCTTACAGCTGCGATCTCGTCGACTCCATTGGCGATGCGCCCCTGTGTGGGCTCACACAAATCGATCGCCGAGTCCCTCGTCAGCTCCTGAATCAGCGTCTGCTGCATCTCATCTTGCCTTCCCGCGCTTTTCGGCTCGTCTTGTGTCATCAGGTTCTCTTGCGGGCGAGTCTCGCAAGCGGCCAGCTCGTCGCGCAACTTGGCAACATCTGCAACCAGCTTGGCTCTTTCTCACAGCAGAGGTCTGCACAGACATCCTTATAGAACTTGAGTACGAGCCGCTGGCGAAGCGCACACGGCTCGCTGCAAGGCCACCACTGCGGCACTTCAGCATGAGCTACGAACATGTCGGCTTGGCTGTTGTGGGTGCTTTTACATTGCTCTCCTCACTCACAGAGCTGCATCCAGTTGTTTTCACTTTGCTTTGCCGTGGCAGAAAAGCTCATGCTCGAGAAGATGTCGGCTTGAACCAAAATGGCTACTCTCTCTCTCTCTCTCTCTCTCGCGTGGGCTTGGGACTGGTCAAAGTCCCGGGGCTTCAAAGCCCACCCAATATATTGATTGGGCATCGGGGAGTGAGAAACGAGCATAGTGCATCCATCGGGCTAAAGCCATAAAAAATACGACATCGAAGCAGAGGATGCACGTATACTCTGCTGCTGACATATTCTCGCCCTGGCTATGTTCCTTGGCAAGTAATTTCTGAAGTATTACAAAGGTCTCTCTCTCGTTCAATGTAGGGAGAAAGCGTGGGCGTGCGTTCTCCAGGATGTTCGGGTCCGGAATTTCCGCACGCTTCGCTTTGCGATTTTGTACGAGCCAGCCACGCGGTCTCATAACGACCCACCACTTGCCACCCACCTTGCCCCTCACGAACAATTGGCAAGACTTTCAACATGACATCTTGCTTTCTGTGCCCCCTTCTGGGACTGATGCATTGCGTAGTCAGAAGTCAGCAGCAGACATTAACGAGGACGCTGCTCTTGCTTTGGATGTTCAGGATTCCGCACAAAAAATTACCACTGCTGTTGTGGGGGTTCCTTAGTATAACTATACTGTAGTACGCCCCAAAGCCGCTAGGATTCATGCTAGGATTCGGCACGGCATCCAAAGAAACACTTCCCCTTCCCTGGTTGTTATCTCTGCACGTGAGCCGGAGATCGAAAGAAAGAGAAGTTTGGAGCTCAACTCACGTGTAGTTCAAACAGCCCAGGGCGGGCACGGACAGCGGTGCTGCCGACGCTTCCGCGCCTGCAGGACACTGAGCAGCATTTACGACATCGCTATTGTTCAAGCTGTTCTGCAGTTCGGCTGCTTGCCACATGCAGCACAACGTGGCATTGCTCTGGCCTGCTGCCGCTGAACCTGCAGCCGTCAGAGCACGGTCAGAAGAAAGGGGATCAGCGGTATTCACTTCTTTCGCTGGGAGGCTTGCCCACCCACAGCTGGCTTCCATGGGTGAACACCTGCCATGTAAGATTCGTTTTGCTGACAAGTGGCTGCAACTGCCCGTTGCAGCGGCACACGAGAGCAATCCCTACTTCTGGCGACACGAGAGAAGTGCAACAACTGGATCCAACTCGTGTCGGTCTGGCCCTGCCCGTGCAGATCAATGCCCTGTCAGAGGAGGCTTTTGGGCACTTCACCCTCTCCGTGAAAAAAGCACCTGCACGTCCCCTGTTCAGATGCCCTATACGAATGCAAGAATAATCCACAGTGTTCCTGCAGCAAGTCGGCTTTTGCCTCCCCTTGCCCCTGCGGTGACTTGTTTGTTTTCCGATTTGCAGTGCATGCACACTGTTCGCATGGCACGTCAACAGAACCTGCGCAGGTCGTGAGTCGCTGCATGTCGTTGCAACCCCACTGTGATGAAAACAGAGAACTCTGGAGAGCTCGGCACCTCAGCCAAGTTCGGACCTCGGTCGAGACAAGCCGGCTCTCTAAGAATCAACATGCATGAATCGATACAACTACCCGTCACCATGGTGAGTCATCCGTGCGGGTCCATATCGGCTTGAACCTTGTCCCTTTCGCAGTGGTGATGATCAATCGTGGAAGTAGAAATACTCGTCGTCATCGTAGTCGTCGTCGCAGCAACGGCAGCACCAGGTGGTGGTGTGGTGGTAGCAGTTGCAGTAGTATTAAGTAGGTCGGCGTAGGGTCAATAGCATAAGAAGCAATGGTGGTAGTAGTAGTAGTAGTAGTAGTAGTAGTAGTAGCAGCAGCTGTAGCAGTGTTCTTGTTCTTGTTGTGGCTGCAGTACTACTAGTGGAAGCAGGAAGGAGGAGTTGTAAGAAGTCCCATCACACAGCAACTTCTGAGAATTCCGGCGGATGATGGCAGCATCCTACAAGCAGTCGGCGTTTCTCCAACAAACGTTATGGTGCCTTCCTGTGCGCGAAGGACTCCGAGCTTTCTGGGTTATTGCCGTCCCGTCACTTGACTTATCGCCAGATCGCGTACCGGGGTATCTGGGGTAGGAGGTGCTCTACCAGAGCTGGATAGAGCCCTAAACCCTAAACCCACCAGAGCTGGATAGAGCTGGCTTGCAGATCATGCTCGAGCAGACACGTGAAAGCCTCTCCTCCGCAGCATCGCGGATAGCTTGAGCGTTGGGGATGTAGCCCATGGCCCTGGAATGGAACAATTCGATTTTGCTGACGCAGCAATGGATACCGCAATGACATTTGTGGGTGTACGTGTGCCTTAGGCGGGTGTGCGCGTGCGCTTGCATCGGTGTCTGTCTGTCTGTCTGGCTGTGTGTCTGTGCGTGTTATCTGCCCTGATGCTAGTACGACGGGTATGGCATGGACTCGCAAGGGGGTTGGGTTTAAAGATGGTTTGAAGGACTGTCAATATCGTAGGGGTGCAGTCTGACATCACCACAACCCGACACTGTGTCACATGCCTGATACAACTTTGCCTATGAGGCTTGCCAGCTTCCCCAGCTGTGCCTCCATGAAACTGTAATATCAGAGGCGAAAGGAGGTGCGTTGAGTGAGGAAGCGAGCCTCTGTCTGTCTGTGTGCAGGATGTAATCGAACGGTTTGCATGGGTGCAACGCAGCCTGTCCTCAGCACGCGATCCAGCTGCTTCTGCATGTACCTGATGTGGTTTGGCTTCTCATAAACGCACCCTCTCGTAGCTAGCCTCACGATTGCAATTTGCAGACTCCAAGACGCAGCTTCTCAGACAATGAAACCTGCACGAATCCAGACTGCCAAGTCATCACCCAGATTCCTTGTCGGAAACCCGTCACTACAACTATACAACGAACGCCCAGACTGCTGCTTTAGCTGTGCGGCACAGCACCGCCCACCGGGCGCTGCTTCTTCAACTCCCGCTTCACCATGAGGATCTGCAGATCAACGATAGGTTGACAGCTGAGCGACATGCACCGAATATCGCCGCGGGAGAACTGACTTTTGGGACGTCTTGACTGTAGACGAATCATGGAAGAAGAGGTTTGGGGTCTACTCAAGTATGGTTGTAGAGGAGATATCGCGACGGAAACACTGATTTGGGGCTGTGGCTCGCAGGACCTGGACGGACGCAGGCTGAATCATTTTCCATTCCGTCAACTCTCCCGAAGACATCGAACCTGAATCATCGTCTCACGAACATCTGAGTCGCAGCTGCCCAGCATGACAATGCATCAAACGATCTTGAAGGAGGAGGCTCGAGGAGTGCAAAAGGCAACCAACGCCTCCATCTCGAATCCGGCGAAAGGATCACAAACAAAACAGCCATTCGCAAATAGATGTCCTCAAGGGTGTAACTCGCAGGGCCTCCTTCTCCTTCACCTTTCGCATGAAGCCGAAGAATTCGCACTCCTCAAGCACGCCTTTACCTGCCCGCCGCTGCAGGAGGTATCCGTTCGAACTAGCAAGCTGGCCCTTCCAGCTTTACGGAGAAACGATGAGAAACGGCCGAGGACCCTCCAGCTTGCTACATACTGAGATCCTGTTGCGCCTCCTACATCGCAGCTGTCCGAGATCAGCTGCACCTCCTGGCACATGACCGCACTCTTCTTCACACGCAGATGTAGGACTGCTCAAGTGATAGCATGTAATCAATCGTTTATACCCCATCCTTTTGCAAACTTAAGCTGTGCTGATGCCAGAATGCATTGGCCCGTTTGCTTCTGAGGTCGTAGTTCTTCGAGTCTCGAGATTTGCGTTGTCTTGCGTGTGTAACACATGGCATGCTTGTGCACCGCAGACATTGGTCTCCTTTGCATCCTTCGCCGCTTCGCGCTTCTCTCCTCCTGATGCACTTCCTTGCTTGTTTTGATTTTGCCGGTGGACCCTCGGCCCCAGAGTTGTGACTTGTGGGGTCTTACCGTCATTGCATCACTGTCGGCTGATGTCCTTGTTTGTCGATATGACAGGGTGCAAGGTCAGGATGCTGGCGGCTTGCGGATGCGCGTGATGCCTCGTCATTGCGTCGCGGCTTGTCAGATAGGTAGGATGCCTTCTACACGGTTTCAGACATGGAAAAGCAAGCAGCATGGCAGTACACGCATGTCGATGAGCCTCTTTTGGCTCACAAGACTGAGCTGTTTTGCACAGATCCATCCAGCCGAAATCAGCCAGACCGGTTTAAGAGACGGGGGCATCTCGCATACACAGCCTGATAACACAGGAAACGCCTTCATCCAAGCCTCCAGGGAAAGACTGAACATGCAGGTGCGCGCATTCCAGTGTGATGCGTGAACTGAACCCAAAGGAGGCCCCGGAACTCGCCACCTCCTTGGTCAGACCGTGGCCGAGCCATGCCATCGCTTTGTGAAGCTCGCTGGTGTCCATAGTGCCGCCCCTCTCGAGGGTGCCGTGAAGATATGAGGAGGGCTCAGAGGCCAATTTCAGCCGACAAGGAATACCTCCTAATTGCTGGATGTGCGTGGGCTTTTATGCCTTTCCCTGCGCTCCCCTGTAGTACACAGCACTTCGAACCGTGTTTGACCTTCGAGAGTGAGCTTGCCAAAGCATCCGAGGCCTGTCCAAGTCGAACTTGCGAAACACCTCCTGTTCAGCTGAGTTGAGGCTTTCTGCTTGCCACTCTGTCTCGGAAGTATTCGGCTGCAAAGTGAGCGAGTCGGTGGCACAGGCATCCATTCCACTACATGGTTCGCCCTTGGCACGCGACCCATCTCATCCAACCCGTAACCGAGCGCAAGGCATGCCCGCTTAGATGGGCACAAGACTCACACTGCAAAGCAAACCCTAGTTGGAGCATCATGGGACTAAGTAAGTAAGGTTCTAAGCCGCCTAATATTGGTTATAAGTATAGTTACCCTAATTATAACCCTAGTTAAGTCCCATGATCCTTTAAGTAAGATCAGATCAGCTGCCACACTCTGGGCCTCAAGACCCGAACACATCTCCACCCACTCCAGTTTTCACATGATCCCCCTCCTTGAGCTTGATGATTTCCCGGGAGGAGAAGCCCTGGCGGCCAAGGGTGGATGTCGGAGAGGCCACTTGGAGCTTCGTGGGCAGGTACATGTGGGGTTATAAGTCCCCTAATATGGGTTATAATTATGCTTACCCTACTTATACCCCCACTTCTAACTACCCATGAACCTCCAAGGAGAGCGTGGAAGCTGACTTTTGTTCGCCACCTTTAGCTTAGGCGAGGCTCCCCTGCAAAAAGACCATTCAGATCTTGTACAAGGCAGTTTTAAGAACGGGTGACTGCGGACTGTGCATGCGGCTGGAGGAGGGTTTCGGCATTCTGCTGTGTCTGCCTCCCATGCCCCGAGTCTTCAACTCAAACGTGAAGCAGCGTCAGAGAAGTTGTTTATCCTTCGCTGCTGCATTTGCAGACCTCGAACGAGGTAAGTCGCAAGTACTAAGCTACAGGCATGTGGTGCTGCTTCGGGTTTCGTTGGAGCATCACGTCAACTTTCTGCGTCTGGAGGTGTTGTAGCAATACTTGGTGGCTTCTCTTTGCGCTTCTACCAAGTTTTGATTGCTCAGAGCCGTCTCTGCCTCGTTGACATGGATGATCTCGATGACCCGCCTGTCAGCAACTCTGGAAAAAGCTCCTGCCGTGTGGCCACTCTACAGTGCTGCTCTAGAAAGGGTTTTGGCAAAGGCCTGGCATCTCCTCGCAGAATTTGTCGATCTTTGGCTCTGCCGTGTGGTATTCGGAGCTGCCGCTCAAGTCAACAATAAACTCGGACGTACGTGTGTGTGTGCGTGTGTGCGCGTCTGGGGTTCCCTGCTTGAACTCTTCCATTGTGATGGAGCCCGGATCAGCAGGAGCAACCTTTCGGGGCCCAAGGAGCCAAGCGCCGCCTAGTTTTCTCTCTTTCGCTCGCCAGTATGCATGCGCAAATTCAGCATTTCACATTGTTTTACACTAGAGTATACTGTATGCTACAGGATACCACGGTATCTTATGCCGAGCATGTCGTCGAAACAAAAACCGGCCGCAAATCCTGCATCCCAAACCCAAGAAACTGCAAACTAAGAACACTCTAAACACAAAACCACCCTAAACCCCAAAACCCAATTAAAAAAAAAGACCACTTCAGCGCCAGACCTCGACCATGATCTCCTTGAGGACCTGCCCCCCAACAAAAACACAGGCCAAAACACCGGCGTAACATTATATCTGTATATATATATATGTATAGCTATATATATATACATATATCACAACACCACAAAGTATGTCTTAACAGATTTATGTTGTGTTAGATTAGGATGTGTTAGTTTCTACCTACACCTACACTGTAGCTATACTAGACCATGCTTCATTGTACTATACGACACGGTGCTTCTCTATACTACACTACAGTGTATTAAGATAGGGTTCGGGGGTGCGGGGCTCAGGCTCATCACCAACAACAAGTAGTGACTAGTGAATTCAGGCTTCTGAATTCCTCAGATTCCTTGTAACCCCACATAAAGGCCGAAACCCTAAACCCTTTCAACCTCCAAAGAGCCATAACCAGACCTGGTCCAAGGCCGTGATCCCGCACTGCTCAAGCAAGTTGGCAAGCTCGTGCGCCTCTCCAACGCAACTTCCCCATCAGTACTACGATATTCTACTCTAGCATGCTTTACTATACTGTACTAACTAGACTATGTATTAATAGCAGTCTTTCAAGCAATTCGTGTTCTATAATGCAGACTCCCGCAGCTTCTTCTCGCCAACACTCTCCTACTTCTGCGCCTCCGACATACTATAGGGCCTTACTAATTAGAATAAGGTTTGGGGGGGTATAAAATACTATAATCATAACAAGGAACCTTCCGAAATAGTATTAATAATGATTTAGGTCCCTATACGTACTAGTTTCTGAGTCTTCTTCAGGTTTGCGCCATCGCTTCTATTCAAGGAGTAGCTGAACATCGGTTGGCACAGCCTGGGTCCGCATTCACCTGCGGGGCATCACTTTTGGTGTAGCGAAGGATTGACCATGATTCGCCGCAGCATTGCCTCGAGAGTGCCACTCTGGTCATCGTCGAAGTGCTCAAATACCTTCACGAACTCTGCATAGTGTTTCTCCTTCCGAGATGCAGTTCGAGGTCCCTTCGGAACTCCAGTCGCTCGAGACATGACCCCCAAACCCTAATCTCTAATCCCGAAACCGAGGTCCGCAGAATGAAAGGGGTGTCCTCATACATGTGCAGCATCTGTAGGAACTCATCCAGGTCCAATGAGTTGTATCTGCCACTGACAAATCTTCTCTGTGCTTGATTTTGACCTTTGGTGGTATATCGATTATGGTGCAAAGGACTATGATGATTGTGATGGTGATGGTAGTGGCGATATTCACAAGTCTGACAAAGGGCCGAGTATCCCCCTCCTGTCTGCACTGTGCCGACACATAGAACCTACTGAAAAGGCAATGATAATAATTGCAATGGGGGTTTGGGGGTTCCTTAAATCCCTATATTATAGTGGCCCTTATAGACCACTTTCAAGGAACCCTGTTCTAATCTTTAAGGCCCCATACTACCAGCAAACTCCTAGGCTCTGCGACTCTGCGAGGCAGCAAAATTATTGAACTTGCACTTATCTAAGCCTAAGTATAGTACAGTATAGTGTAACATGATATAATGTAGTATAACCTATTATAACATAATACAACATAATGTTACCCGGGTGGCAACACCTGTGCACACAGTCCCGTGATGACTTCTAAGATCGATCACAACCTCTTGCGGCATCCCAGATTAAAGAAGAGTTCACTTGCATGGCCTCTGTACAAGCGAAACCGTTTACACCTATTTTAGATTTTGGACAGTAAACCGTGACCGTAACCCAATCGCGAGTGCTGGCAAAGATTTGTACTGTCAGAACGAGTGTGCAAAGGCAGAGAAGCAGCCATCCGGACCGGCAAGTGAGGATGCAAACAAGGATATCGATATTGACACAGAAAACTTAAAATGCAGCAATGGACAATGGCAATGATGAAAAGTAGAATGAAACACAGCTCAGTGGCAGGAACCAAAGTACCACTGGCCGTTGCCGATGCCGTCATATTCATGAACAAACCCAGTCTCACCATAAGGGTAACCAGACAAACGCCAGGACCAGTACCAACCATCCGGCCAGTCATCGGGACATCAACCCTCACCGTCACCATCTTTTTGACCATCTGCAGCAGCGGCAGCTGCTGAGTCAAGCTGGCCAGCACCAACATCACTATCACCATCATCATCACCAGCACACCGTCGTCACCATCACAGTCATCGTACTGTCATCGTCATCACCACCGTCGTCGTCACCAACACCATCATCATCATCACCACCATCGTCATCATCGTCACCATCATCATCATCATCATCAGCTGCTGCATCATCAGCATCATCATCATCATCATGATGCCAGTACTGTGCCAAGAACCCTGCAGTTTCGTGCTCTCGAGGCCCACCGTAAAGCTTCAAAATGAAACACACGGCCGGTGCAGAAATGAACCAACAATGTGGGAGCCAGCAATCGTAGTCAATGCTATCGTCGCATTACGCGGAGCTTCTTGCGTACAAGAAGCTTCGTGATCTGGCTCACCACCTGTCAAGTCAGGAGAATAGCTTTGTCAGGCTTTGATGGAGTGATATGAAATTCCTTGGAGCTTGTCATCAGATCTGAAGAGCAAGGCAGAGTTCATCAACGGACCCTTTGCTGTGCACCTCGTCTAACCAGGCTTGGCGCAGGATCGTGAAGCCCGCGAGCTCCAAGGCTTGCAGCAAGGAGTCGCAGTGCACCTCACGGGAGAAAGCCTTCAGGCTTTAGGGTTTTAGTAGTTCATGAACACCTTCAAACCAAACATGCAGAAAACGACCGAGGCCAGCAGCGCCGGAGGATGCAAGCAACATCGCTTGTCTACACGGGACACTCTACTTGCTCTGTCGCTGCCTTCCTGGCGAAGCTCTTGGGCACGTAGTGATGGCCCTCTTTGGGTGTGTGTATCACGAGTACCCCAGCTTTTTCAAGCATTCAGGAATCATCCGACAATTCGGTCAAGTGAAGTTGGACGGCAGGCAAAAACCCCGATCTGCCCCTGTGCATGTTGCCGAGGCTCCTTAGAAGCCTTGGCGAATAAGTCGCAGCCAATGCTGCTCAGTAGGATGCCGAAGCAGATCGACCCTAAACCCGCTAGGACTCGCGGCGCCTTCTGGTGATTCTCGTGACCCGAGCTCTGGACAGAGCATGTTAGATCTGCTGCAGCATGTTCTTTAAAACCCAAAGAAAAAGCCATCATTCCGCTGGTTGCAACTCAGCGAGTATGCTTGGAGGATCATGGGGCTTAGTAAGTAAGGTTATAAGTACGTTAATTGGGGTTACAAGTATAGTTACCCTAATCATAACCCTAGTTACTAAGTCCCATGATCCTTTACAGTAGAAGCCAGAAAGTTGGAATATCTTTATCGTAACCCCTTTAAGGTAAATTATAGGGGATCCTACCATTAATCCGTATTCCAACTTTCTGGAGTTCCCTGAAAGTACCCTTTGGGCGTGTCACTTCCCAGCAGGCCCAGGCCCAGGCCTGGCCTTCAACCCGACATCTCCAAACTTAGGAGAAGACAGAGGGCTTCAGCTCTCTGGGGCGAGCCGAATATATTCAGAGAGCCCAATATCCCTCAATTGGGGACTATGCCTTTAATTATAGGGGGGGGGGCTTCATCGTATAATTTAGGGTCTATCCCCTAACTGTGGGCTACTGGGCTCTCTGGGTCCTTCTGTCGTCCTAGTTTCAAACACTCGGAAAATCGCTCAGAGATCCAAGTCCAGCCACATGCGCAGCAAGCAACCAGTGTGCAAATGCCTGGTTGAGACGAACATAGGGGCCCTTTGTAGGGCTCCTTCAAAGGATTCTGTAAGGGCTACGATCAGGGCTCTTTTGAGGGGCCTTAATGATTTCAGCAGGATTTTGGGGTAGATTATACCATAAAAATAGAATAAGGAGCCCTAACGAAGAATATTGGAAATCATTCAGGCCTGTATATTTTTTAGTATTAAGTGATTAAGTGACTACAGCATGTCAAGAGGTACTGGATGAGTTTGACGGAAAGAAGGTTCTCATCAATGGCAGATACTTCAGACATAGAGTCGAATTGAGTCATGGGGGAAGACAGCAGTCACACAACAGCAGACAACATCACAACTACAACTACCTAAAGGATCATGGGACTTAGTAACTCGGGTTATAGTTAGGGTAACTATACTTATAACCCCAATTAAGGTACTTCTAAAGGTACTTATAACCTTACTTGCTAAGTCCCATGATCCTCCAAGTACTGTAAATTACATCACCGCACACGGAACAGTAGCGAAATGGGTAAAACGGACGTCCACAAACGGCACAAAGGAACGTTCTCGACATTGAGCCAGGAGGCTGGCATGGCAAATGGCGGTCTCCAGGCTATGCCGGTAGGCTAGCTCACCTGTCGAAGCACTCTGCAACCCTTTCCCAAAGTCAGGACGGGACTGTACACCCTAAAAACAGTCCCCGAAGCCCTATGTATCCCCACATCCTGCGTTGTTTCTTGGACCAAGCCTGTGTAGCTTCCGACGAGGAAGCAGAGAGAGAATGAGAAGTAAATGAGTAAAGTTTGCCTGGGCAGGCAACCAGCAATCGATGCAATGCTCGCGACTGCTGTTAGCAGATTTGCCCCTGCTGCACAAGGGTCTCGTGCTACTTGCTACAAGTCCTGCCAGCCAGCATGTCTCCCAGTCCCGTAAAGGAACTCAAACTGGAGTAGCAAGGCTGATAAGAGGAGGAATCGCAACAATAATGACACTAGCTGACAGGTAGGGTTGATAACAACAAAAACTCATGTCGTGCCAGGCTGCAAGTAGTCAGCGAACCCGGGGTGTCTGGCCACTGCGAAGCGATCGCAGAGATAGTATAAAAGCTTGAAGCTGACAAGGCACCAACAAACACATATGGAGTACACGTGGCCAATCAGGGATGAAGCCACCTCAATCCCAAACAGCCGTTGGAGAATTTCTGGGGCGTGGAACAGTCATGCAGCAAGACTGCTTGCCATTTTGAAGCCTAGCTGGCCTAGCTGAACCTGCACTGATTTACTTAGCTGGGTTATGGAGCATTTCGGAATAATACAGGACGGTTTCAAGGCTGCTATTCCTGCCGAAGACACCACTGGCATTGGTGCCCCCCCAGCCCAAAGCGCCATGCTCTCATCAATCGTGGCACTGACTGGGAATGTGATAAGGAGGAGGCAGTATGGCAATGGAACATCCACGGATTGAATGTTAGACAGGTCAGAATAGAGGGTTCCTTGCACGAACTTCTCAAACTCCTCGGCACTGCCATACCACTTCTGGATCGCGGAAGTCACGAAGATGTGGTCGAAAAGCTCGCTGCACTCAGCCGATGACAGCTTGAACGCTCTAAGCTCTTCGAAGAGCTTGTGCTTAGCGCGGAAGAACCGCCGCAGGCCGTGGACAAAGCACACAAGTGGAATCAGAGCAAGTCCGATGGGAAGGGCCTCGCCCACAAAGTAGCCATATTTGTCGAGGCCCGCTGCAACCGCCGCCCAGTAGCACGAGGAGGCAAACCAGAGAGCAGGCGCCAAGAAAAGCACGGAGTGCTCAATGAAAATCGGTGTCAAAGTGATCCTCCTGGGGAGTTGGGGCCCGAAGCTGCAATACAGCCTGTTTGACTAGAACAGCACAGCCAAGGCTGCTCAAAAACACAATGCTTTAAGAGCAAGTGTCCCTGTCGGGTTGGCCACACGATATGCCGCGAGTTCGAAGATACCTAAGCGAGGAAACGATCACACTGTCCGGACACCCTTTGCGACAAGTGCTGAGCAGCACAACTGGAAACGCAACCCTTCGTACTCAGAGAGTTTCGTGCTGCATGGAATGAATCAATGGTTTTTGAAGCTTCTGACGTCCTCGCATTTGTCGAAGGAAACTTTACGCATGGTGTTGCCTCGCTGCTTCCCTCTCACAAGCAAACGCCTAGCGCGGCGTTCTTTCCTTGTTTTGGAGCTTAGGTGTTGATCGTCCCTGACCCATACTCTGTAGGTAGAGTATACTGAAGCTGACCCTCGGTTCAGGGAAAAAAAGAAAGCCCACTCTCCAGAAAAAACTACGCAGGAAGCATAAGAGCAAGCTTCCTTTTGTGGAAGTGCCCCAAACTAAGAGTGGCAGAACGTCTTTTGCAACATCGGCTTCGGAGAAACGGCTGCCTCTCCGTCCGTATCTGACTAGGGCTGTCAGTCTCTCCATCTCTGCCTCTTTCTGTCCCTGCCTGTCTCTGTCTGCCATCGGTTCGCCAGGTCCACTTAAGGCTTAAGACTTGTCATGTTCACATACGGATCTCAGCCAAAGACCAGAGTCTAATGAAGCTGAGGTTCACCACAAGCGTGTAAGGTAAGGAGGAGTCCACAATACTCGAAGCTCCGCTGCCTCGGTCCCATTGCATCGACTCATTGCCTCTAAATGTAAAGGGACTCCAGTCTTATTCCTGACATTGAAGCTGGGCGGTGAAGGCTCAGGCACGACCTGGCGATTAGAGACAAGCCGCGTGTTGCAGAAACCCACCGATGCCATAAATCCCGCGTTCCTTGAGAACTTGGTTTGCTTGATGGATGCAAGCGATATCCTCAGTTGACGTGAGCATCCGGCTTACACACTGCAGTCCAATAGAACGAATATGAAGCTTGCTTTCGATTGTTGGGGGTGCCTCCAACGTCGCAGATTCACGTCTGATGGAGCAGAAACCCCTGGTCCGAGTCTCACGGCGAATAACGGTAAAGATAGATACGGAATTGCTTGGCCCCAAGATGTCCTCACTCCTTTCAAGCCAGTCCATCATTGACTGTGCATCATAATGTGAATCTAAAAGACACTTGCCTCTCCATGACCTCTGTGCTCACCACTCGAAAAACATGCAGGCGTATCTATGCGCCCGGGTATGCATCTGCATCTGCGTACATGTCTGCATGTGTTTCTGTAATGCATGTGCGTAAGGTACCTGGGTTGCACGCCCATTGTCATTGTGTTTTGATGGTAGACCCTTCTGTTCAACTACCTCTACAGTGGGCAAAAAAGGTGCGTGCGTGTGTGTGTGTGTGTGTGTTGTTTGTGTGGGTACTTGTAGATGCCAACGAGAGTGCAAATGTTCTGCCGAATGCCTCCATGCATCTCCTGACTTCTCTGTCTATCCATGTCTGTATGTAGCTATACATGCATGCATGTATGCTTGTACAGTTGCTACTCCCGAGTACGAATATTACGTGCATAGACTGAGCATGTGATAGGCATCATGCAGACGTCCTATGTCCTATGCATGACCATACAAGATGCTAATGAAGTTGAAACCACACGCATCAGAGCATGTCACGGGACTGCCAGTTGCGAATGAATGAAATGGGAGGTCTGCGACCTAAACCCGAAATCCCAAACCCTGAAACCTTACAGTACAGTACCCGTGAAGTACCCTGAAGCCTAAACCCTTACAGGACCCTGTTAGGATCCTAGACCATACGTTCTGCCTAGCTCGAAAAGGTGGGCTCACTTACACAAAGCCCGGGGTTTTTGCATCTACTACAGGCCCAGGACAAAGATGCTCCACTACTGACTAGAACAGAGCTATATAAGATAGCCTTGACATAAGTACACTGTCATACTTTAAAAGAGAAAACGATTCCTCAGGAACGCCCAGCAGCTAGGAAGCATGTACCCTCTTTCATCAGCATTTGGGGGAGATACGGTGCAACCAGCACACCCAGAATCAGCGCCGCAGGGGTTGCAATCACCGCCCAGGGTGCAAGTGGACAGGCCACTCCGAAGTTCATAATGCGCTTGTTGAGAACGAAAGGCTTGTGGTTGTGCAACTCGGGAAAACATACTTGCAAGGTGTTGACAAGGATCATCGCCAACAGCCAGAAGGCCAGAGCGCTGTGCCAGCCTGTGCTCAAGAGAAGGGCAAGTACCTTGGACAACCCTGAGCTCTTCCACGTATGGGAGATGAAGACATCATAGGTCTTGACTGGCCGCAAGCTGTGCCACAGGAATTGCCATTTTTCCTTGGGAACTTTATGCGGGCTCCTTCGCCACATCCAACCCATGCCCTTCAGGGTCTTGCAGAGTGGCACGCCGCGAAGAAGGTCAGGCTCCACTTCCAGGTACGGACCGACTCTCTGCGTCAATAACTCACTAATTCTGTTTTCGACCGGAGAACACCGCCGCTGTGGACTGACGCTAGCGCTGAGTCCCCACGTGTCTTGCGAATCTTGCCTGTGCGAACCATACGCACTTTTGCTATCCGCAACGTCTCCCAAGAAGTGGCTCGATGTCATGCTGTCTTGCTCATCTCCTATGGCAAACCTCGACCTTGTCCATTGCATGTCCTCGTTCTCGGTGGTTTCGCAGGTGCATTCTCCGCACCACGGCTGAAAACGAGTATCCATTCTGCGAATAGCCCTACGAACGCCGACCAGGGCTCGAGCGTCAAATCGTCCAGCAACAACTGATACCTAGAGTTCTAGAGGAGACTTCGTTCCAGTCCAACCTACGACAGCTTCAGTGTTCAAAGTTTACAAGGCTTGCAGCGTTGACACGGCTATCAGGGCCAGCTATGGCTCCGGCTCTTCAGAGCTTCTGGAGGCCCGACTGCAGCGCCATGCCCCGAGCTCCCGACCTCTCCCTGATTCTGCAATCTGCGGAAAGCAGACTCCCACCTCCCCACCAGGACGCGATAGGTCACTGCGGATTGCCAAGGGGTTATGGCCATGCTAAGGGGACTGCTGCAAGGTGAAAGCCTCAAGAAGGTGCTGTTCTGCTTGCAAGTCGTCTTGTCACCTCGAACATGTCTACCGGCTTGGGCCGGACTTCTTTTCTGCGCACGGTCAGTGCAGCAAACATTGCTGGCAGATGTTCATCTTCGACCACATGAGCGGGGCAGGTGACTTTAGTGACTATAACGAACAGTAATAGCAACAACGGCAATAGTAAGACTAGTAGTAATGGCAGTCATGATAGTGGTACTCATGGTAATAACGTCATTCATAAACATCAGACTCGTACGAATTCTATTGAATGGCCCTGATTACGTCATCACAAACAATGAAAACAACCATAATGATGTAGGATGAAACACTGGGCCTCTTCATCTGTCTCATTTTCGCAGCCTGTCCGCCGACAAGTCTCTTGCTAGCTCTGGTGCTGGGCGGGGCAATTGATTCAATAGATGTGTTTACGATTCAATCCTTGGGAATGGATTTTGGGGGTACTGCTCCCACTACTGCTGCGGCTACTGCTGCAGCTGTGCTACGACGACAACAACGATCTCCGCTACTACGAAACGTCATGCTGCTATCCTATTAGAGCTACTAATACTGCATTCCACAAATACAACAAGTGAGTCCACATCGTGTGATTCTGAGCGTTGTACGGCTGAACGTGGACGTTTTGGAGTCGAATGTGTGCATGTTCACATCACCATCTCTTTTTGTCTGTCGGTCATGACTGCGGGCACACATTGCCGCCCCACATTTACTCAGACTACGGGTGGTGTCCAACTTATGAATTTTCGCACTGGCCGCCGGCATACCTGCTTAAGTTTGGAACTTCGGAGGTTCAGGTTGTGGTCCGATCGGCCGCAATCGAACTGTGCGACATTGCACAAGCTCACCCCCTCAGATGCGTTCATGCATGCATGGCCGTCTGTCTGTATGTTTGTATGTAGCTGTGCATGAGTGAGTGTGTGTATGTATGACGATGAATATGCAAAGTTCTTTGTTTATGTGTGGAAGTGGTCTGAAGTGATCGCCATGATCCGCCACTGCGACTTCGTCCAAGCTGACATCGTCTCGTGCCTCTGCGCAGTGCGGACTGACAATTGGCCTTGGCAACTAACCCGGCAGGGAAAATGCAGTCTGAATAAGCAGTATATACTGTTCTTCCTTAAACTTCCTTATCAGTATAGTAAACCCATTGAGTATCCTCAACAGCAGTCCAACCGTCTGAAAAAGGACCCCAAAGCTCTCTCGCTGTTGAGAAATTATGCTGTCGCCCAAACCCTTGTTTCAATTATTCAGGCCCCTATCTTAAACTGCTGGAAGCAACGACAAGTCACCTCGCGTTGCCGATGTACTCTTACGGGCTGGGGGCTTAGGGGTTCACGCGTTAGGGTTTAAGGTCCAGGGTTTAGGACACAATGGAAGAACGTATTGGACATATTGCACTCGTCGGAACGATGCAGCTTAGACGATAGTTTCCAGAATATGAACATACATAACCATATTCATCTTAATATATGTATATATACTTCTATCGAAATATGTATCTGTGTATATATATATATATATATAGGTCTGAAAGCAGAGGCAGCACTGAGACTCCCACAACGCCTGTCAAAAGCGGGTAGCCGGAAGCGAGGATACGCAATCCAGTTTCAAGTACACCGTGTCATGTGTCCTACTTGTCCAGTATCCTTGGGAACTAAAGGTCAACCTCGGGGAGACCATTGTGATTATATACGGATTAGGTAGGGCTTACCCCAACAAGGTTAAAGGCTACTAGTACCTACTCTACTACAGGTGGTGCTATCAATCATAGCCCTGGCATCTTCCCCTTGTTCACGCAATGGCCGAATCCAGTGCTCTACTTGAAGGTTCATGGGTAGTTATAAGTGGGTTCTTAAGTTCCCTAAAATGGGCTATCATCATGGTTACATTACTTATACCCGCACTTATATCTGTATCTACCCATGAACCTCCAAGTATAGCGGGAGCATCTTAGGGGATTCTGAGAGTTCTGGACATGCTGTCGACGGATCACACCAAACCCGCTCGCCATTTTGCTGATGCGGTGAAAGAGCTACGAGCTTTGCGTTAAGGATTGCAGGGGACGTTCATCAACAAAACAAGAAAGCGGTAGCACCTTGGAGAGAAAAGGGTCCACTTCCAGGGCAGGAGTTATCCTGACGTCATGAGCTGTCGTTGGAGAGCGCAGGCAGAGATCTAGAGTGCGCACAAGGCTTTTTCAATGGCATCGGTCCCTGCCCTCATGAAGTTAAGACTCTCATCAGATAAGCAGCATGTCTCAAGTTTTAGTCATGGGGTTCAGAACAATTGTAACAGCTGCCTTACCAGATGCTCAGGACGGTAGTAATTAGAATAGGTTTTTGGGCTCATCATACCATGATAATATAAAACTTTTAATAAGGAGCCTCCACAATAGTATAGGTAATGATTAGGGCCCCTATATTATGGTCTTCTTCCGCTTCGCTGCATCCAGTGACCACATCCACCCACATCTCGCCTGCACTCTGGGACGGCTGCAGCGCCTGTGAAGGGGGACTACTGACAATAGATCTCAAGGGCTAAGGGTTTGGGGTTTAGGACTTAGGGTTAAATGGGGGGTAGGAATGCAGGCTTAGCCTGAAGCCAATGTTTCGATCGCTGCCCCGTTTCCACAGGACTGCCACTTCTCATCGTGCTCGGGAACAGAACAAACATACGTGCGACCATGCATACAGTGTACCGCCAAATCGAGCTTTTTAGAGAACCCAATGGAATGTAGCTTCGTATTATGGTTTAAGGCAAATTTCCTTAACTTTGGGATATTGGGCTCTCTGGTTTATCGTCTATGTCGGTGTTGTGGGTATCACCTTTCGGAACAGTATCTGCTGCCTGCTCAAGCGATGCTAGTTGGATATTCGGACCTCGACCTACCTGGCTTGCATGATTTCGTCAAGAAAAAGGGGTAGGGGTTTAAGCCTCTGCGGCGGCATGTTGGGAGTTGGTCCGTGCGGAGTCTGGCTTCACCAAGTTTTTGGGCCGCCATGCAGAAACTATACTTGTGACACTCACACACACACACACGCAGCAACACAACACTCGAGACCAAACCAATCATGACAACAGTTTCTCTGACACTTCGTCCGCCACGACTTGCCTGCACCTCACTCCTATTGGTATGGTCATGTTGCAGGCTGCAGGATTCCCGTTGTCAGAAAACCTCAAGAAAAAGTGCCATGTTGTCATTGAGTCGTCGCTCACCTCGGGCCACTATGTTCAGAAAGAAGTGGTGACAATACTTTCCGAAAATAGGATTAAAGCACCGCACCCAGTGCCCGGACCGCCTCCAGCAGCATCAGTTCTGGCGGAAGCATCGCTCATGTGCGACAGCTGACCTTAGGGTCAGGTATCAACACGTGCATACGACGGTTCTGGATAATTGGACCGGCGCCTGACACCTCGACCTGCATAATCTGCCGAGGCGTTTCTGACAGTACGGTACATCACTCATATTGTCATAATTTCCCCACCCCCCCCCCCGCCCAGCCCCCCAGCGCAAACTCCATGTTGCATCCAGAAGCCCCAGTTTACAACCAGGACCACCGTTTCAAGTCCCTCGAGCCTTTCCGTAACGCAAGCAACTTAACAAGCCTAAAATGTACTGACTTAGATCGCCATGACCTGGTACCCCAGCATCACACTTCAGCGCAATAATGCACCTTTGAAAGTGAGGTTGGCAACACTTTGTGCTTGCTGGAGTGAAACTCGACTACTAATGCTGGATGTGAGAATACTGTCTAGCGTGTAGAAAAGTAAATTGCGGCATGGCATAAAGCGGCGTAGATACAGCATGGTATCAATTACTAGTAAGTACGAGAACTGGCACTAGCAGTAGTAGTGCCAGTAGCAGTGCCAGTGGTAGTAGTAGTAGTAGTAGTAGTAGTAGTAGTAGTAGTAGCAGCAGTCGTAGCAGTAGTAGCGGCAGCAGCAGCAGGAGTAGTAGTAGTAGTAGTAGTAGTAGTAGTAGTAGTAGTCGTCGTAGTAGTAGTAGTAGTAGTAGTAGTAGGTAGTACGTAGTAGTAGCAGCAGTAGTAGTAGTAGTAGGTAGTACGTAGTAGTAGCAGCAGTAGTAGAAGTGATAGTAGTAGTGGTTATAGTAGTAGAGTAGTGTGTAGTGGTGTAGTCGTATTCTAGCAGTGGTTCATCCAGGAAACGATGGCTTAGACGTTTGATGCCACTCTTGGCGGCCGTGCGAAACATGGGATCGAGGTTGTCCTGCAGACGCGCCATGTTGAGTTATGCTGGTAAGCGGTTGACATTGTGTCAGCAGGAGTCTCCTGAATGCCACATCGTGGTGCAAAGGGAAAGCTGTTCAGTTGCTCGCAGATGACATGGACTTGCAATGACACATGAAGCATATTAATGCGCTTAAACCCAAACCGCTGTGTTGGCAGGTCCGTTTGCGAATGTGTATCCGAATATACAAACAGTTAGTACATGGATGAGCTGTGACTGCAAGACCATCTGACAATTTGTCCTTCTCAGGATCTGCTTGCTCGTCAGCCATCCTCGGGCGGGCTTAATTAGGCCTTGCCGTCCCTGCATGTCAAGCCTGCCTGCAGCCTTGCATACAACTTTTGCCAGAGATCCCAAGAATTGAATTCTGC